GTTCGGTTACCGTGACTGACAGCTAGGTGGCTGAATGACAGGGGGCTGGAGGCGGCGGCACTGACTGGGAACGGGCTGCGGTGGCAAGGTATCAGGCAGAGCGGCAGGAGGGCCGGAGCTGACGGCAACCAGACGGATCCGGGGAGGGCTAAAGCCGGACCCGAGCAGGGCTGGATCCGGAGCTGGTTGCGGAGCACCGAGTCCGAGAGGCACGAGTCCAGGGAACGAAAACTGCGGGGCACAGAGAAAAGGGTCAACGTGAGGGACGAGGCGAATAACACTCACGAGCTGCAATCCTCAAAGAGCTTGGTCTGCATCGGCGTACCACAACTGAGTAACACTCTGGCGTCCTCCTGCTCACTGCCTGATCCTTAAATGCCAGCCCGTAGAGTGTCTGATGAATCTCAGGTGTGGGGCCACGCCCACCTGTCAATTGCAGCCACCTGTGAAGCTGAGCAAAACAGAGCACGGCAACACGAACCCTGACAATGGTGTTTCGGAAGATTCCAAATGCACCCCTAAAGATAATGTGGCGGTCCAAGATACGGATTTTCTGGTTAAGCCAGTATTTGCATTGTACAAAGTGTTGGGGCCGGTTGATCACCAATCATCTGCGTCTTCTCCCATCTTTACCATTTTGCCTAACTCTTGCCATTTATCCATTTTAGATTTTAACAACGAGGCACGTGGAGGCGTCCACATCCTATGCATTCTGTGCACCTCAGCTGGCACTTGCACAGCTGTAACTAAAGTACTCTCCCAGTCTGACTACAGATAGGTAAACGTCGCTTTACAGGGTCTTAATTGTTTATTTTTTTACTTCATACTTAGGATCTGGCCCTGGTGCGACTTCGTACCACAGCGTAACATGGAGTTTGTCAGGCTTCATTTGGTCTTGGGGTTTGGAAATAGCTTTACGTCCTTTGGCCTATAAGGCAGAAGCGGTACTGTCGGGGGGTCAATCAGGTATGTAGGGTGTGATAATAGTGGGGCATTCCAATCCCCTGCATAACATTAAGATCCCCTTTCTTGATTTCCTCTCTGGGCTTGACCACTATTTGGGTATCGGATCCAGACCGGTTCTTTAACTTGGGTCAATTTTTTGCTTGCAGATCTCACTACTACAGTGCTAGTAGGCCGAACTCCTGGGATAAACTCTTTGCAAGTTGTTCTGCATGCTCCAGTGTCACAAAGGAATGTGACTGCTTTGCCGTTTACCATTAGGGTTACTTCAGGCTTGACAGCATCCATGGTTAACAATGTTTGGAAATTAACTGGTACTTCCCCTGGCCTACATCCCCCTTTTGTCATCCCATCTTTCTGATTTTCTTCTGTTCCTAGTCATGCAGAAAATTGGGATTGATTCCTCTTCTGAAGGCAATCTCTTGCGATATGTCCCTCTTTTCCACAGGCCTAACAGCCTGTGGTATTGTATCTAGTATGATATATATATATGTAGCGCTCCCCTCAGTTAATAATAAAGATGAGGGCAGGGCTTTTGGGTTCTTCTAAATAAAACTATCAATAATAATTAACCCTGATAAAGTCTGTTTTATAGTTTGTTTTGAATTTCCCTTTTTTCTCTTATACACAAGCTGTATATCTAATTTAGCTGTAAACTCACCTCTCACTCATGTAATCCAGGCAGAGTGCAAACACAGAATTAATTTACTTCCTCCTTTAAGGTAATAAAATACACCAAACCAGGTTATATGAATTTAGAACTTAACTATTTATATTAATTGCAGACGGATTATAGCAAAAATCATCATGTGAAAATCAAAGGAAAACAACAGCATCCTTTTCATTTACACAAACAAACATTCAATCATCAGCAATATAATCACTGTGCCAAATTTATAAACAAACGTCAAAATATACCTGTGTGGGCCCACACACCTTAAACTAAAGCCGGCAAACCTTTTTTGCTTTTCAAAATAAAAGAGGTACCCCTTTAAATTTCGGTGCAGGCCTGGGTGCAGCTGTCATCCGGCGGCTTCACAACAACAGTGACAGGTGATCCAAGGAGAGATGACTGGGAAAAGAAGATCTGTCGGGAGGCAACTGAAATCCTGTCACTGCCGGAGTCTCGGTGCTCGCTCCCCGTCCGCAGCTCCGTTCTTCAGTTATTTTGCTGGGCTGTTAGCTTGAGGCTAACGTAGCAAAATCCCGTTAAAGCAGCGACGACTTTGTTAGCCCCTTAGCTCAACGGTGTCCTCCCTCTGTCGGTTGAGTAGTTCACTCAAACCGCCCAAAACATCAACCTTACGTTCTCTGGAGAGTCCGTTTAGTCCTCCTCCACAACTTGGTTCCCAAAATCCTCAGTCACCATTCATTAATCTTCGTCTTTTTTTCCTCCTCTCTTTTTTCTCACTCCGTCTCCGTTGTTCGTCCTTTCGTTTCTCCCGCCCCTCCACAAGCCCCGCCCAGGCCCCTCTCCATTCGCCCAATCAACGCTGACGTATACATGACGTTTGCGGAAACATTTCTTAAAGAAACCAAACAATATATACATTTAAACTGTTCACAACAAATTAACACTTTTAAAGACATTTTAACATTTTATAAACATTTATAATAATGCTCAATGTTTTGACCGGGTTACATATATATATATATATATATATATATATATATATATATATATAT